TAATAGTGGGAGACTTTAACACTCCACTGTCAATGTTACACAGATCGACCAGACAGAAAATTAACAAGGATATCCAGGACTTGAACTCAGACCTGGAATAAGGAAACCTGATAGACATTTACAGAACTCTCCACCCCAAATCCACAGAATATACATTCTTCTTAGTACCACATCACACCTACTCGAAAACTGATCACATAATTGGAAGGAAAGCACTCCTCAGCAAATGCAAAACACTGAAATAATAACAAGCAGTCTCTCAGACCACAGTGTAATCAAGTTAGAACTCAGAATGCAGAAATTAACTCAGAACTGCACAGCTTCATGGAAACTGAACAACTGGCTCTTGAATGTTGACTGGATAAACAATGAGATGAAGGCAGAAGTAGAGAAGTTCTTCAAAACCAACGAGAATGAAGACACATCATACCAGAATCTCTGGGACACATTTAAAGCAGTCTCTAGAGGAAAATATATAGCAATAAGTGCCCATATGAGGAGAATGGAGAGATCCAAAATTGACACCCTATCATCAAAATTGAAAGAGCTAGAGGAGCAAGATCAAAAAAACTCAAAACTCAGCGGAAGACAAGAAATAACTAAGATCAGAGCTGAACTGAAGGAGATAGAGACACAAAAAACCCTTCAAAAAATCAATAAATCCAAGAGCTGGTTTTTTGAAAAGATCAACAAAATAGATAGACCACTAGCCAGATTGATTAAAAAGAAAAGAGAGAAAAACCAAACAGATGCAATAAAAAATGATAAAGGGGAAATCACCACGGATTCCACAGAAATTCAAACCATCATCAGAGAATATTACAAACAACTCTATGCACATAAACTAGTAAACCTGGAAGAAATGGATAAATTCCTGGACTCCTGTGTCCTCCCAAGCCTAAACCAGGAGGAAGCTGAAACTATGAATAGACCAATAACAGGGTCAGAAGTCGAGGCAGCAATTAAGGGCCTACCACACAAGAAAAGCCCAGGTCCAGATGGGTTCACAGCCAAATTCTACCAGACACACAAAGAGGAGCTGGTACCATTCCTTCTGAAACTATTCCAAATAATCCAAAAAGAGGGAATCCTTCCCAAATCATTTTATGAGACCAACATCATCCTGATACCAAAACCCGACGGAGACCCAAAAAGAAAAGAAAACTTGATGCCAATATCCATGATGAACATAGATGCAAAAATCTTCAATAAAATATTGGCAAGCCGATTGCAACAGCAAATCAAAAAAACTTATCCATCATGATCAAGTAGGATTCATCCCGGGTTCAACATACGTAAGTCTATAAACGTAATTCACCACATAAACAGAACCAAAAACAAAAACCACATGATTATCTCAATTGACACAGAGAAGGCATTTGACAAAATTCAACAGCCCTTTATGCTAAAAGCCCTCAATAAACTCGGTATCGATGGAACATATCTCAAAGTAATAAACGCTATTTATGACAAACCAACAGACAATATCATACTGAATGGGCAAAAACTGAAAGCATTCCCTCTGAAATCTGGCACTAGACAAGGATGCCCTCTTTCACCACTCCTATTCAGTATAGTACTGGAAGTTCTAGCCAGAGCAATCGGGCAAGAAAAAGAAATAAAGGGTATTCAAACAGGAAAGGTGGAAACCAAATTGTCTCTATTTGCAGACGACATGATAGTATACCTAGAAGACCCCATCGCCTCAGCCCAAAAACTCCTGAAACTGATAAGCAATTTCAGCAAAGTCTCAGGATATAAAATCAATGTGCAAAAATCACAAGCATTCGTCTACACCAATAACAGACTTAAAGAAAGCCAAATCAAGAATGAACTGCCATTCACAATTGCTACAAAAAGAATAAAATACCTAGGAATACAACTCACAAGGAACGTAAGGGACCTCATCAAGGAGAACTACAAACCACTGCTCAACAAAATCAGAGAGGACACAAACAGATGGAGAAACATTCCATGTTCATGGTTAGGAAGAATTAATATCGTGAAAATGGCTATACTGCCCAAAGTAATTTACAGAATCAACGCTATCCCCATCAAGCTACCATTGACTTTCTTCACAGAACTGGAAAAAACCACCATGAACTTCATATGGAACCAAAAGAGAGCCCGCATAGCCAAGTCAATTCTAAGCAAAAAGAACACAGCGGGGGGCATCACCCTACCGGATTTCAAACTATACTACAAGGCTACAGTAATCAAAACAGCATGGTACTGGTACCAAAACAGAGATATAGACCAATGGAACAAAACTGAGGCATCGGAGGCAACAAACATATCTACCACCATACAATCTTTGTTAAACCTGACAAAAACAAGCAATGGGGAAAGGATTCCCTGTTTAATAAATGGTGTTGGGAAAACTGGCTAGCCATGTGCAGAAAGCAGAAACTGGATCCCTTCCTGACACCTTACACTAAAATTAACTCCAGATGGATTAAAGACTTAAACATAAGACCTGGCACCATAAAAACCCTAGAAGTAATTCTAAGCAAAACCATCCAGGACATAGGAGTAGGCAAGGACTTCATGAACAAAACACCAAAAGCATTGGCAACAAAAGCCAAAATAGACAAATGGGACCTAATGACACTCCACAGCTTCTGCACGGCAAAAGAAACAGTCACTAGAGTGAATCGGCAACCAACAGAATGGGAAAAAATTTTTGCAGTTTACCCATCTGACAAAGGGCTGATATCCAGAATTTACAAAGAACTCAAACAGATTTACAGGAAAAAAACAAACAAGCCCATTCAAAAATGGGCAAAAGATATGAACAGACACTTTACAAAAAAAGACATATATGAGGCCAACAATCATATGAAAAAATGCTCATCGTCACTGGTCATCAGAGAGATGCATATCAAAACCACACTGAGATACCATCTCACGCCAGTTAGAATGGCGATCATTAAAAAATCTGGAGACAACAGATGCTGGAGAGGATGTGGAGAAAAAGGAACACTTTTACACTGTTGGTGGGAGTGTAAATTAGTTCAACCATTGTGGAAGACAGTGTGGCGATTCCTCAAGGCCTTAGAAATAGAAATTCCATTTGACCCAGCAATCCCGTTACTGGGTATATATCCAAAGGACTATAAATCGTTCTACTATAAGGGCACATGCACACGAATGTTCATTGCAGCACTGTTTACAATAGCAAAGACCTGGAACCAACCCAAATGCCCATTGATGATAGACTGGATTGGGAAAATGTGGCACATATACACCATGGAATATTATGCAGCAATCAGAAATGATGAGTTTGTGTCGTTTGCAGGGACATGGATGAATCTGGAGAACATCATTCTCAGCAAACTGACACAAGAACAGAAAATGAAATACCGCATATTCTCACTCATAGGCAGGTGATGAAAAATGAGAACACATGGACACAGAGTGGGGAGTACTAAACACTGGGGTCTACTGGGGGGAAAAGTGGAGGGCCAGTGGCGGGGGGAGCTGGGGAGGGATAGCCTGGGGAGAAATGCCAAATGTGGGTGAAGGGGAGAAAGGAAGCAAAACACACTGCCATGTGTGTACCTATGCAACTGTCTTGCATGTTCTGCACATGTACCCCAAAACCTAAAATCCAATAAAAAATTTAAAAAAACATTTTTGTGCATGTATACACTTGTACTAAGAAAATATCTTAATTTTATTTCCTCTTTCCTTTATCATGTGACCTAATATTTATTGACTTCATATCAGCATTTAAGTATTGTTAACTTTATGTAAGTATGTGGGTTGGAGATTGGTGCATTTCCAGTTGTAAGAAGGATATTGTTTTATGTTAGGCTTAATTATAACTTTATTGTTTTTATTTGAAGATTATATATGATCTCAGGAAATGTGTATAGGTTCAAGTTGACAAGGGCTGTACTTTTTATGGTTAATACTGAGTATCAACTTGACTGGATTGAAGGATGCAAAATATTGATCCTGGGTGTGCCATGAGGGTGTTGCCAAAGGAGATTAACATTTGAGTCAGTGAGCTGGGGAAGGCAGATCCACCCTTAACCTGGGTGAGTACCATCTAACCAGCTTCCAGCTCAGCTAGAATACAAAGCAGGCAGAAAAATATGAAAAGAGTGGACTGGCCTAGCCTCCCAGCCTACATCTTTTTCCTATGCTGGATGCTTCCTGCCCTCAAAGATCAGACTCCAAGTTCTTCAATTTGGGGACTGGGCCTGACACTCCTTGCCCCATGCAGAAGGCCTACTGTGGAACCTTGTAATCATGTGAGTTAAGACTTAATAAACTTCCCTTTATATATATATTTATCCTATTAGTTCTGTCCCTCTAGAGAACCCTAATACAGTGACCAATAAGAGAGCATGAAATTCAGCCCGAGCTCTGTTTTCCAAACCATGTGTTCTGGTTCTGGAGTTGTGTCAATCCCAAAGTGGTATCTCTTTTTAATTCACACAGAGGAGCCATTCAGTCCCCATGTGACCAAACTGTATCCTCCTAGACAGGACATCTTGATTCTAATTCACACATAGATCAGCAGCCATATATGCTAAGAACTAGTAAGACAGACGAACACTGATGGTCACAAATAATAATCACATAGAAATAGGTCCAACAGGGTGTTTCAAGATGATTTAGAACATGATTTAAAGAAAAGAACTACCTAGGATAACTCAATCCCTTATCTTCTAAAAAATGAATCCTTTCCAAAGTCCTACTAATTATGAAAAATATGAATAAGGAATACACAAACCTGAAAATATAGCAAAAAGACAGGACAGGATAATGGGTACCAGCAAACATGTGTAAATTAAAGAATGCTTCATTTTTGTTAAAGACAAGTGGCCCAAAAAACCCTCTGTGTGACAGATAGAGAATTAGTACCATGAGATAATAAATAAAACATTGTTATTAAAAGGATTTCAGCCAATATCTTATGGTTAAATCAGTTTGAACTACCCAGTCATGTCTTACAACCCCCTTGCCCCAAGAATCAATTTAATTGATAACCTGTGTTCTGTTACTTTGGCATGTCTGAGATGGTATTTCTCTTTTCTCTCAGTTGAGTAAGATTACTGCAACCCTAGGAAAATGTAAAAAGGAATAAAATTACTGAAATCCTGGAAAGATAAAATAAGTTAGCCCAAGGAAGAAAAAATGCAAGCCTGGAAATATAAAGGAAATAAACATGTGGTGTTCATATTTTAGAGTAATGTTCAATGTAAGTGCATGGATATATTTTTAATAATTGTATTTGTGTAGATTTCATATACTAGTCAAGTGGTCTGAAATGTTTCAAAAAAAGCCACGTTAAATTTATAACTGCAGTTACAAATTTGACGTGGCTTTTTTTTGAAAAATTTAATTCATCAAATTAGTAACCAATGTATATATGGTCAATAAAAACGAATTGAATAAAATTGAGCAGTAGGCAAAGTACAAGTAGTAGTAAGTATTTATATCCACTTACAAAAGCCACTGGACACCAAAGAATCTATGAAAGGGTTTATTATGTTAACACTATTTTCTTTAGCTTCTCTCTCTAGCAATCAGATTAACTTTTTGAATTTCTGGAGAACTCCTCCGCATTCTCACATGCACCAAAAATTACAGAGTTCAATTCCAGACATGTTATGTTTGAAGTAGCTGGGGACATATAAAACTAAGGTAGGCTAGTGGAATAAGTGATTGTGAATTGACTCATCAACCTGTTTCTGCCATACCTTATTAAGTTTCCTTATCTGTAAAATGAAAATAATAAAAAGTCCTACCTCAATGAGTTATTGAGAATATCAAATGAAATAAAGTATTCCACAATTTACTATGTTATGTTATTCTTTTTAAGGGGAACACTGGCTAAAAAAATTTTTAGCATCCATCCTCTCATTATCTACATTAGGTATTTCTCCTAATGTTATTCCCCCCCAACCCCCCCCACCCCCTCCTATCCCTTCCCTAGCCCCTCATCCCCCCACAAGCCCCAGTGTTTGATGTTCCCCTCCCTGTGTCCATGTGAGGAATACTGGTTCTTAAATGTGAATATATCACAGAGAAATCATAGTAACAAACAAAGGTGATTGATTTTAATAACTATGCATGGAAAGCTTATTTAATTTGGGAGTCTTCAGACTGAATATTAATCCTTATTTTAGGAGCTGCAATTTGAACTAAAAACCTCAATCCAACAAAGTTTTGAGTCTTACTTTATTCCAAGGCTTCAAGAGTTTTGAACTTGAGGGAGAAAAGTATCTTTTTATTTGGAATACTTGTTTTCAAGTGCTCTGAGACCCCTTTTGTTAACTGCCACTTACTGCTTGTTTTTCTTTTCATGGGTTCAGCCTCAAGGGCCTGGAAAGGATAAGGAGACTGTCTACAAAACAAAAGAAAACACAAAATCAGATTTAAAAACCTTGTGGAGATGGCTATATCCTGAGTCAAGTTTTGCATAGCATAATGGAATGAATCTATTCTGCAATATGAATTAAATGGCATGTCAAGAACATACAGAATACAGAGAGGAAATTCAGGATTTTAGGTCCAGTGCATGTTTCACATCATTAGCTTTTTGTTATTCTCAGGACAAGTCACATCAACATACATATATTAAACACATGTCCAGGTTAATTTGATACAGTGATTTAATACACTTTAGTAACCCTCTTCTCATTGCTCCAAATATATAAGGAATAAAATTACACAGATAAACAGACCATAAAAAATAATCAAGCTCAAATATAAAGAAAAAACCATCTTATTAGACAAGAACAAAACAAAATGATGAGTGAAATTAAGCCAACCTTAAAACCAGAATTTGGGCCAAGCCCACTAGCTATTGTAACTGGTTCTACTGGATCTGTGGTATTCTCTGTAATATCATGAGACAATAACTCTGAACTTCCATTCTGAAATGTGATAGTGGATTGAAGCCTGGAGTGCTGGGAGAAAGCAACTAAAGAGCCTTTAGAAAGGGTTGAGGGAATGATGGCTGAATAGGAACAGCTCAGGAATGCAGTTCCCAGAGAGAACAAGGAAGAAGGTGAGTGATCACTGCATTTCCAAACGAGTTATTACTGCCCAAAGACAAGGAAATTCCCAGGCTGAAAAGCACCACAAGGTTCCAGCATGGCTGTTTTAGCCAGTGCAGCAGGGCTCCGCACAAAAACTCACACAAATCTTAGTGGCCATTTCAACTGGTGCCTGCAATGCCTGGGAAACAGAGCCACCCATTCAACAGCAAAAAGGGGGCTGAAACAGGGAGCCAGGTAATCTGGCTTAGCGGGTCCCACACCCACAAAGACCAGCAATCTGAAGCGCTCTGGACTGAGAGTTTCACAGCAAGCACACCAGGATCTGGGATGGTTCAGCTCTGTGGGGGTAAGAGTATCTGCCATTAATGAGGCAGTCCACCACTACTGAGGCAGTCCACCAACACCGAGGCAGTCCACCATTACCAAGGCAGTCCGCCATTACCAAGAGAGTCCACCTTTACCAAGGCAGTCCACTATTACTGAGGCAATCTGCCATTACTAAGGCAGTCTGCCATTACAGAGGCAGTCCGCCATTGCTGTGGCAGACAGCCATGACCGAGGGGGTTCTAACTATAACTCTATAAACAAAATTGCAAGGAAGTTCACACAGCAGATGGGTAGAGCCCACAGCAGCTCAGCAATGCCCCTGCTGGCAGACTGTGACTAGGCTATCTCCTAGCTGGGAGGGCATCTCTGAAAAAAGGTGGCAGCATGTCAGAAACTTACAAATAAAGCCCCACCTTCCCAGGACAGAACACCTTGGAAAAAAGGCGGTTATGTCTTCTGCTGCAGCAGATGTAAACTTACCTGCCCAGCAGCTCTGAATGAAACAATGGAGTTCCCAATTCAGCACTTGAGCTCCTATAAGGATCAGACTGTCTCCTCAAGCAGCTCTCTGACCCTGGTATATCCAAAGAGACAACTCATAAAGGAGAGCTCAGGGTGACATCTGGCAGGTATCCATCTGGGATGAAGATAACAGAAGAAACTGGCAGCAACACTTACCGTTCTGCAGCCACTGCAGGTGATCCCCAGGCAAGCAGGGTCTGGAGTGGACCTCCAGCAGTCCGACAGCAGAGGGGCCTGACTATTAGGAGGAAACCTAAAGAACAAAAAGAAATAACTTTGTCATCAACAAAAAGGATGTCCACTCAGAGACCCCATCTGGAAGTGACCAACTACAAAGAACATAGGTAGATAAATCCATGAAGACGGGAAGAAACCAGTGTAAAAAGGATGAAAATACCCCAAAACAGAACACCTCTCCTTCTCCAAGGAATCACAACTCCTCTCCAGCAAGGGAACAAGGCTAGATGGAGAATGAGTCTGATGAATTGACAGAAACAGGCTTCAGAAGGTGGGTAATAACAAACTTCTCTGAGCTAAAAGAACATGTTCTAACCCAATGCAAAGAAACTAAAAACCTTGAAAAAAGGTCTGATGAAATGCTAAGGAGAATAAACAGCTTAGAGAAGAATAAAATGACCTGATGGAGCTGAAAAACACAACAAGAGAACTTCACAAAGCATGCACAAGTTTCAACAGCCAAATAAACCAAGCAGAAGAAAGGAAATCAGAGATTGAAGATCAACTCAATGAAATAAAACAAGGCAAGCCTAGATGAAAAAGAGTGAAAAGAAATGAACAAACCTACAAGAAATATGGGATTATATGAAAAGACCTAATCTACGTTTGATAGGTGTACCTGAATGTGATGGAGCAATGAATCCAAGCTGGAAAACACTCTTCAGGATATTATCCACGAGAACTTCCCCAACCTAGGAAGACAGGTCAATATTCAAGTCAAGGAAATACAGAGAACACCACAAAGATATTCCACAAGAAGAGCAACCCCAAGGCACATAATCATCAGATTCACCAGGGTTAAAATGAAGGAAAAAATGCTAAGGGCAGCCAGAAAGAAAGATTGGGTTACCCACAAAGGAAAGCCCATCAGACTCACAGTAGATCCCTCAGCAGAAACCCTACAAGCCATATGAAAGTGGGGGCCAATATTCAACACCCTTAAAGAAAAGAACTTTCAGCCTAGAATTTCATATCCATGCAAACTAAGTTTCTTAAGTGAAGGAGAAATAAAATCCTTTACGAACAAGCAATTGCTCAGAGATTTCATCAGCACCAGGCCTGCTTTACAGGAGCTCTTGAAAGAAGCACTAAACATAGAAAGGAACAACCAGTACCAGCCACTCCAAAAACATACCAAATGGTAAAGAGCATCGACACAATAAAGAAATTGCATCAACTAACGGGCAAAACATCCAGCTAACATCAAAATGGCAGGATCAAATTCACACATAATATTAACCTCAAATGTAAATGTACTAAATGCTCCAATCAAAAGACACCAACTGGAAAATTGGATAAAAATTCAAAACCCATCAGTGTGCTGTATCCAGGAAACCCATCTCACATGCAAGGACACACATAGAATCAAAATAAAGGGATGGAGGAAGATTTACCAAGCAAATGGAGAGCAAAAAAAAGCAGAAGTTGCAATCCTAGTCTCTGATAAAATAGATTTTAAATCAACAGAGATCCAAAGAGACAAAGAAGGGCATTACATAATGGTAGAAGGATCAATGCAACAAGAAGAGCTAATGATCCTAAATATCTATGCACCCAATACAGGAGCACCCAGACACATAAAGCAAGTTCCTAATGACCTACAAAGAGACTTAGACTCCCAAACAGTAATAGTGGGAGACTTTAACACTCCACTGTCAATATTAGACAGATCAATGAGACAGAAAATCTACAAGGATATCCAGAACTTGAATGCAGATCTGGTTCAAGCAGATCTAACAGCCATCTACAGAAATCTCCACCACAATTCCAGAGAATATACCTTCTTCTCAGCACCACATCACACCTACTCTAAAATTGACCACCTAATAGGAAGTAAATCACTATTCAGCAAATGCAAAAGAACAGAAAGCATAACAAACAGTCTCTCAGACCACGGTGCAATCAAATTAGAACTCAGGATTAAGAAACTAACTCAGAACTACACAGCTTCATGGAAACCCCCGAACAACTAGCTCTTGAACGGTGACAGGATAAACACTGAAATGAGGCAGAAATAAAGATGTTCTTGAAAACCAACAAGAACAAAGACACAATGTACCAGAATCTCTGGGACACATTTAAAGCAGTGTCTAGAGGAAAATTTACAACAATAAATGCCCACATGAGAAGCAAGGAAACATCTAAAATTGATAACCTATCATCAAAATGGAAAGAGCTAAAGGAGCAAGATCAAAAAAACTCAAAACCTAGCAGAAGACAAGAAATAACTAAGATCAGAGCAGAACTGAAGGAGATAGAGACACAAAAAAACCCTTCAAAAAAATCAATAAATCCAGGAGCTGATTTTTCAAAAAGATCAACAAAATAGATGGACCACTAGCCAGATTAATAAAAAAGAAAAGAGAGAATAACCAAATAGGTGTAATAAAAAATGATAAAGGGGATATCACCACAGATTCCACAGCATACAAACTACCATCAGAGATTATCACAAACAACTCTACGCATATAAACAAGTAAACCTGGAAGAAATGGATACATTCCTGGACATGTGCACCCTCCCAAGCCTAAATTCAGGAAAACGTTGAAACCCTGAATACCAATAACAAGGACTGAAGTTGATGCAGCAATTAATAGCCTACCAACCAAAAAAATCCCGGGTCCAGATGGGTTCACAGCCAAACTCTACCAGGTGAAAAAGAGGAGCTGGTACCACTCCTTCTGACACTATTCCAAACAATCCAAAAAGAGGGAATCCTTCCCAAATCATTTTATGAGACCAACATCATCCTGATACCAAAACCCAGCAGAGACTCAAAAACAAAAGCAAACTTCAGGCCAATATCCGTGATGAACACAGATGCAAAAATCTTCAATAAAATACTGGCAACTGATTGCTACAGTGCATCAAAAAGATTATCCATCACGGTCAAGTAGGATTCATCCCAGGGATGCAAGGCTAGTTCAACATAAGCAAGTCTATAAACATAGTTCACCACATAAACAGAACCAAAGACAAAAACCACATGATTATCTCATTAGATGCAGAGAAGGCCTTAGCCAAAATTCAACAGCCTTTATGCTAAAAACTCTCAATAAACTAGGTATCGACAGAATGTATCTCAAAATAATAAAAGCTATTTATAACAAACCCACAGCAAATATCATACTGAATGGGCAAAAACTGGAAGCATTCCCTTTGAAATCTGTCACTAGACAAGGATGCCCTCTCTCACCACTAATATTCAATATAGTATTGGAAGTTCTAGCCAGAGCAATTAGGCAAGAAAAAGAAATAAAGGGTATTCGATTAGGAAAGGAGGAAGTCAAATTGTCTCTATTTGCAGATGACATGATTATATATTAGAAGACCCCATTGTTTCAGCCCAAACTCTCCTGAAACTGATAAGCAATTTCAGCAAAGTCTCAGGATGCAAAATTATTGTGCAGAAATCACAAGGGTTCTTCCTATATCACCAATAACAGACTTAAAGAGAGCCAAATCAAGAACGAACTGCCATTCACAATTGCTACAAAGACAATAAAATACCTAGGAATACAACTAACAAAGGATGTAAAGGACCTCTTCAAGGAGAACTACAAACCACTGCTCTAGGAAATGAGAGGACAGAAACAGATGGAAAAACATTCCATGTTCATGCTTAGGAAAGATCAGTATTGGGAAATGGCCATACTTCCCAAAGTAATTTACAGATTCAATGCTATCCCCATCAAGCTACCAATGACCCTCTTCTCAGAACTGGAAAAAACCACCTTAAACTTCATATGGAATCAAAAGAGAGCCCACATAGCCAAGACATTTCTAAGCAAACAGAACAAAGCTGGAGGCATCATGCTACCTGACTTCAGACTATACTACAAGGCTACAGAAATAAAAACATCATGGTACTGGCACCAAAACAGAGATATAGACCAACGGAACACAACAGAGGCCTTGGAGGCAACACCACACATCTACAACCATCAGGTCTTTGACGAACAAGACAAAAACAAGCAATGGGGAAAGGATTCCCTGTTTAATAAATGGTGTTGGGAAAACTGACTAGCCATGTGCAGAAAGCAGAAACTGGACCCCTTTCTGACACCTTATAGAAAAGTTAACTCCAGATGGTTTAAAGACTTAAACATAAAACCGAAAACCATAAAAACCTTGGAAGAAAACCTAGGCAATACCATTCAGGACATAGGCATAGGCAAGGACTTCATGACTAAAACACCAAAAGCATTGGCAACAAAAGTCAAAACAGACAAATGGGATCTAATTAAACTCCAGAGCTTCTGCACGGCAAAAGCAACCATCATTAGAGTGAACTGGCAACCAGCAGAGTGGGAAAAAATTTTTGCAATCTACCCATCTGACTTATGGCTTATATCCAGAATCTACAAAGAACTAAAACAGATTTAAAAGAAAAAACAAACAAACCCATTCAAAAGTGGGCAAAGGATATGAACATACACTTTTCAAAAGAAGGCATTTATGAGGCCAACAAATTTATGAAATCACTGGTCATCAGAGAATTGCAAATCAAAACCACATTGAGATACCATCTCACATCAGTTAGAATGGCAATTATTAAAAAATCTGGAGACAGCAAATGTTGGAGAGGATGTGGAGACATAGAAACACTTTTACACTGTTGGTGGGAGTGTAAATTAGTTCAACCATTGTGGAAAACAGTGTGGGGATTCCTAAAGGACCTAGAAATAGAAATTCCATTTGACCCAGCAATCTCATTACTGGGTATATATCCAAAGGATTATAAATCGTTCTACTATAGGGACACATACACATGAATGTGCATTGCAGCACTGTCTACAATAGCAAAGACCTGGAACCAACCCAAATGCCCATCAATGATAGACTGGACATGGAAAATGTGGTACATATATACCATGGAATACTATGCAGCCATAAAAAAACGATGTTTGTGTCCTTTGTAGGAACATGGATGAATCTGGAAACCATCATTCTCAGCAAACTGACAGAAGAACAGAAAATCAAACACCACATGTTCTCACTCATAGGCGGCTGTTG